GGAGCAAGGAATCAAACCTGGGTCGGCTGGCTGGCCGCTGACAAGGCAAATGCCCTACCGCTGTGCTATCATGAAAATAAAATCATGAAGAGAAAAAAAGAAAAAAATAGACAGCAAAAATAAATAAGGGGCTGGAGCAATAGCACAGCAGGTAGGACGTTTCCCTTGCATGCAGCCAACCCGGGTTCGATTCCCAGCATCCCATATGGTCTCCCGAGCACTGCCAGGAGTGAACACAAAAAAAAAGGTTAATTCAGAAAGTATATGGGTTTCAGGTTTTATTTTTTATTGCTTTTGTTTTTTTGGGGCCACACCCAGCAGTGCTCAGGCTTATTCCTGGCTGGTTCACTGGTGGGCTTGGGGGACCATGGGGTACCGGGTATTCAACCAGGTCATGCAAGGCAAGCACTCTACAGGTGATACTGTCATTCTGGCACCCCCCTCTGCTTAGTCCTTTCAGCTATAGATACAAAATTCCATCTATTAGAACTGGGTACACCATCAATTTTAAGAGAAACAAATGTACGACTTCTTTAGTTCCACTACTTGGACCCTCCGAACCGAACGAGACGGCAAGTGAGCAGCTTGCTTGATAATCTAAAAGAAACTATGCTCACTGGATGCTGGAAACAGAAGGCAGTATTCTAGAGACAAAAAAAAAAAAAATCACTCCTCATTGCACTGGTGACTTCTGTTTTGTTTCATTTGGGAGTCACACCCAATGATGCTTGGGGGTTACTCCTGCTTCTGCACTCAGGAATTACTCCTAGTGGTGCTCAGGAACCCATATAAGATGCCAGGAATTGAACCTGGGCTGTCTGTAAGACAAACACCCTACCCACTGTATTATTGTTACAGCCCCTGCACTGATGCTTCTTTGGGCAATTGTCCTTACCCACTAATGTTTTATAATAGAGAGGTAACATAACTTAAGCATTTTCCATGTGCTAGTATATAAGTGGTTAAGCCCTTGAGAGTATGGTGCCGCTAGCAGGTCAAACTGTACCTGTGAGGCGAGTACATCAGCAGCCTGATGGCACCTTCAGACTCCCAGATACCCCAAAATTGCTGCTATGCCTTTGGCCAGACCCCAAAAACTTGAGGCAAAGTTTACCAAGAAAGTAAACGGCCAAAAGTTAGGTATGTGGGAGACACACCCACAAACCACCTTCGGCTCAGCTATGTAATTGGAGGCATGGCCTCTCTGGTTCCTGATCGGACTGCTTAACGACCATGATCCCAGAGACTCAAAAACAAATCTCCAAACCCAAAAGCTTTTGGCAGAAATGCATCAGGTGCCTGCAGTAGGTTACCAGCGCCGGGCCACCCCAGGTGGGAACAGGTTTCGTGCCTTGGCTTGTTCAGTGGCCGTCATCCTCCAGAGGCCACTGGAGAGTCAGGTTTGGGCCCACAGTGACAAGACACGTAGAGCCTCACGGGATAGGGGTGGAGCTGGCCCTTTCCATCCCGTCCCAACGAAACACCAAGTCGCCGCCCACGAACAGCCTTCTTTGGCTCCTGATCAAGCTGCTTAATGGCCATGATCCCAGAGACTCAGAAACAATTCTCGAAACCCAGCAGCTTTTGGCAGAAACGCGTCTGGAATGTGCAGTAGGTTACTGTCACCAGGCCAACCCAGGGGGAAGAGGGTGCTGTCCCTCTAACTGCTCCCCCTAGGCGGCTCAGTGGCCACCATCTTCCAGAGGGCATTGGACAGTCAGGTTTGGGCCCGCAGTAACAAGACAAGTGGGGCCTCACGGGATGGGGGTGAAGCCAGCCCTTTCCTCCCCACCCCAACGAGATCCTGTCACCACCCATGAACAGCCTCTCTGGCTCCTGATCAAGCCGCTTAATGGCCATGATCCCTGAGACTCAGAAACAAATCTCCGAACGCAGTGGCTTTTGGCAGAAATGTGTCTGGACCAGCAGTAGGTTACCGTCACTGGGCTGCCCCGGGGTAAAAGAATGCTGTCCCTCCTCCTGCTCCCCCTGGGCGGCTCAGTGGCCACCATCCTCCAGAGGCCACTGGGCAGTCAGGTTGGGGCCCTCAGTGACAAGACACATGGGGCCTCACAGGATGGGGGTGGAACCGGCCCTTTCCTCCCCGTCCCAATGAGACCCCGAGTTGCCGCCCATGAACAGCCTTTCTTCCTCCTGAGCAAGCTGCTTAATGGTCATGATCCCAGAGACTCGGGAGCAAATCTTGGAAACCAGCAGGTTTTGACAGATATCCCTCCAGATTTGTTAAAACTTTGAATTTCCAAAATCGTGCAGCCACTACTGCAGCCACGCAACACCGTATGTTATTCATAATCAGCAACAACACAAATTGTCTAGTGTTGCCTTTTCAGCAGATCTGAGTGTGGGGGTAAGATCTCAAATAATAATGGTGGATCTGGTGTCAAAATAGTGAATGTAATCAAAGTAGAGAGAGAGAGTAATGTGGAAATCATCTGCCCCACAGGTAGGTGGAGGGTGTAGGATGGGGGTATACTGGGGTTTATGGAGGTGGACAATGAGCACTAGTGTAAGTATGGGTGTTTCATTGTATGACCGAGACTTAAACCCGAAAGTTTTGTAACTGCTCTCAAGGTGATTCAATAAATAAAATTATAAAAAATGGAAAAAAAAAAAAGCAAGGTGGCGTTCATGCCCAATTCAATCAGCTAAGCTAGTGGCTGAATAAATAGCTGTACTCCTACATTAAAAAAAAAAAAGAAGAGGTTAAGCCTTGAGAGCAGAAAGAAACTAAATGGTGGAGGCAGGTAGGATGCTTAGTGGTCATTTGCATGCCGACCCAGGTCTGAACCTCAGCACCACCAATAAAAAAAAAATCAAGGTTTTAAAGAGAATGAGACATGAGTCTTTCCTAATTTTCACATAACTCATTCCTAATCGTGATTGCTCTAATCCAATTGACTCTAATGCTTTTCTCCACATGGAACTAAAGTGGTTACTTCAGGGAAAAATTTAAACCAGCTCCTCCAATCTAGGAAAGCTCTTCTTTTTAATCAAAGGGTGACCAGCTGGCTTTTCAATAAGGGCATTTACAATACTCCAGGGGCTTGTTTTCCTTTAAAAATATATACACATATATTTATGTTATTTACATATATGTTTGTATATATGTCTGTATATATATTTAGATATAGTTTAAGGATTTTTTTAGCTTTTGGAAATTTTGGGAGCAAAGCAAGTTCCTACAGAACAACAATCGTAAGTTAGACCCTGTGAGACATTTAGTAAACTGATCTACAGAAAATTAATTTCTTCACCAGCAAACAGCAACAGAGTGAAGTGCTTGTGCAGACTCACAGTGCTGAGAAGGTGTTACATTCATGGGCAACTCGAGTCTTGGTTATTTCCTGCGGCCTGGGAAAAGCAGAGCTGCAGTGCTATCTAAACTTCCCTGCTCTCCTCTCACGGGCATCACAACCCATATTTAGTCTTAAGATTCGCCATACTTCCTACTTTCTGCTGTCTTCTTTCTCAGACATTTTCCTTGAACATTTCTACTTCCAAGTCCCTCTGGTGTCAAACAACACACCTGCCACTGCTGCAGTTTTCACACACCTTTACACAGAGTCCTGAGACTGCCTTGAGCAACAATCAGCACAGAGCTATACTTGTTTAGAATCACTGAGAAGGATAAAGCCAAAATTTGGCCACTGATGTTCTTGTTTCACAGATTTCACGAGTAGTTTTAAGATTTCTGCCTGCAGGTCTGAGGAAAATACCCACAAAGAGTAAGTACCCTCAGGAAGGCAGAAATCAGTTTGGAAAGCCAAGTCAGTAGGGTAAGAAGACCTTACACTTTGTTGTGCCTGAAAATGTGAACACTGATTTATGCCAGAAACAGGCCTCACATTTACAACACTGAACATGGAGCTATGCATCTATAACCAAGTTCTGAGAAGTGAAGAAGAGAGAAGACAGTGTTAGGTCAGGTAAAACCAGCCCTCAAAACTCCTACGACAAAATGAGTGATGTTTTTATTCACTAGGGAGATTTCAACAAGTTTGAACAATACTCAAAGTCATTCTTAAATGTGACTGTATATGCTACTAAGTGTGTAAATAATTATTTGAGTGCCACAATGCCCCAATTCCAGGATCAGCTGAGTCAGTTGAAGAAGTAGGTAGAATTCTGAGATAAATATAAGGAATTGTGTCAGAAACCAACCATGCTCTATCACTTGTCCTAAATCATTTCTGTACCACTCTCATACTTCTAGTACACAGCACTAAATGACTACCAACCTATTCTTTTTATCCAAGTGAAATATCCCAAACCTAAATCAGCATTGTATTTCAATAGGATTATGGTAACGTGTCAGAAGTAGAGAAGTCTTCATGAGAATTACCCTAAAATTCTTGAAATGCAAAATAACCAAATGCTGTTTTTTAAGGTACCCTCCTCCACCCACCACCTTTATTCTTGGATTATGCTGTTATGCTCTTAATGACAAAGAAACTAAGCTCACTTACTAGTTTACCAACACATCTAAAACAAATTCAACAGTCATAGTTCTATTTTAACCGCGCATGAAAACAAGGTGATTAAGAAGCTTTCTAAACTATCAGAGCCAGGGCTTTGCCTCACAAAGGCTGGCATTAAATCTGTATTTCACAAGACATGCAGGCTCCTGGCCATTAGAGGATCTCTCTATGCAGATCGGCAGTCTAACACTAGCTTTCCCAAGCATTAAAAATCATCACTCTGCTAACCCCACTCACTGTTCAGACGGGTCTTCTTGAATGCAGCCTTTATTACAATTTCACTGCTGTTTCCTACACTGAAGTAACACCATGTTTTTAAGCCAGGAGTTCTTCTTTTTCACTTTATTGTAATCAAGGGTCTTGCAATGACCCTGATACTGTTACAAAGCACAGTGCTTTATAACAGTAAAGCTTCTGGAAAACCCAAACAAAAGACACGTCACCCGGTGACGTCAGCCTATATACAGTTCTGTGTGGTCGCAGCACATAAGCAAATCCATTCTTGTGCCGTTTCTCGGAAAAGCTTTTCAGTAAATGCACTCATGCTGCTCCAGGAGCTCTTCTCTGCAACAAGCCGCCCATCTGCCATCAACAAGTTAAGACCAAGAGAACTAACGGCTGCGGGAAGGAGAGACTGAAGCTTTGATTAACCAGCTGAGCCGTTAAAGAGGGACGAAATTAATAACGTGTTCAAAACTGATTTAGGAGATCAGAGTTGTCACAGAAAACGAAACCAATGCTTTCGAGAGGAATATCCTAAGAGGGGAAAAAAACAACTTATCCTAGTGGATTCATTTTGCTCCGGAAAGCTGGGGACACAGAAAACAGGAAACTGGTCAAAGGCTCCTGCATGTTTGAGCCTTTTACAGACTCACTGCGTTGAGTCTAACAATCGCGACTGAATGCAGTCTCCAATGTGCTCAGAAGAATGGGTAAGTCCATGCATTTATGTGTCTTGTACAATCAGTGAGAAATCGTGTTTTTAAATAAGCCAGTGAATGCACATTTTGAGGAAAAGCACTGTCACATTTTTTAGATTTTAGGATTTAAATAAAACCAGATAGCTTATAATCAAGTATGTGATATATATATATATTTATTTTTTTAATGATTTAAGTTTTGTTTGTTATGCTAACCAGGATAGTTATTCTGCAGCAAATGAAATAATAAGTTACAAACAGTGAAATCTTTCACCATAATGTGCTGCTGCTGTTGTTGTTATTGTTGCTGTTGTTTAATATCCCAGATGCCCTACTGAAAAAAAATATCCTATCTTCTTGTTTTCCTTAAATTATATTCTGCAGGCTTACATTTCAAGTGGCCATTAGGGGCTCCTATGCTGGCAGCAATATATGCAATGAGTATGGTTTTAAAAATGCTGCCTGCGCTGGGTATGGCGTGTCCACCCAAATGCCGCTGCGAGAAGCTGCTCTTCTACTGCGACTCTCAGGGCTTCCACTCAGTGCCAAATGCCACAGACAAGGGCTCTCTGGGCCTGTCTCTGAGACACAATCATATCACAGAGCTGGAAAGGGATCAATTTGCCAGCTTCAGCCAACTTACCTGGCTCCACTTAGACCACAATCAAATTTCAACAGTAAAAGAAGATGCTTTTCAAGGACTCTATAAACTTAAGGAATTAATCTTAAGTTCCAACAAAATATTTTACTTGCCAAACACAACTTTTACCCAATTAATTAATCTGCAAAATTTGGACCTATCTTTTAATCAGTTATCATCTCTGCACCCAGAGCTCTTCTACGGCCTTCGGAAGCTGCAGACCTTGCATTTACGATCCAACTCCCTGCGGACTATCCCAGTACGCCTGTTCTGGGACTGTCGTAGTCTGGAGTTTCTGGATTTGAGCACAAATCGTTTGCGAAGTTTGGCTCGTAATGGATTTGCAGGATTAATCAAACTGAGAGAGCTTCACCTAGAGCACAACCAGCTGACAAAGATTAATTTTGCTCATTTCCTCCGGCTAAGCAGTCTGCACACACTCTTCTTACGATGGAACAAAATTAGCAACTTGACGTGTGGGATGGAATGGACCTGGAGCACTTTAGAAAAGCTAGACTTGACTGGAAATGAAATCAGAGCCATTGACCTGACAGTATTTGAGACAATGCCTAATCTTAAAATACTCCTCATGGATAACAACAAGTTAAACAGTCTTGATTCCAAGATCTTAAACTCCCTGAGATCCCTCACTACCATAGGGCTCTCTGGCAATCTGTGGGAATGCAGCCCTCGAATATGTGCTTTGGCCTCCTGGCTGGGCAGTTTCCAAGGTCGGTGGGAGCACTCAATCCTATGCCACAGTCCTGACCACACCCAGGGAGAGGATATTCTAGATGCAGTCCATGGATTTCAGCTCTGCTGGAATTTATCAACCACTGTCACTGCCATCGCTACAACTTACAGAAATCCAACCACTGAATATACAAAAAGAATAAGCTCATCAAGTTACCATGTGGGAGACAAAGAAATCCCAACTACTGCAGGCATCACAGTTACTACTGAGGAACACTTTCCTGAACCAGACAATGCCATCTTCACTCAGCGGGTAATTACAGGAACAATGGCTTTATTGTTTTCTTTCTTTTTTATTATTTTTATAGTGTTCATCTCCAGGAAGTGCTGCCCTCCCACTTTAAGAAGAATTAGGCAGTGCTCAATGATTCAGAACCACAGGCAGCTCCGATCCCAAACACGACTCCATATGTCAAACATGTCAGACCAAGGACCATATAATGAATATGAACCAACCCATGAAGGACCCTTCATCATCATCAATGGTTATGGACAGTGTAAGTGTCAGCAGCTGCCATACAAAGAATGTGAAGTATAATATATCAATCCATCATCAAAACGTACATCAGATAAGTAATCTATTTTACATGTAGGGGGCTAAATACATAACTAATTTTTATCAATGGTGACATTCAGCCTAATTTTCCAAACGAAGTGGAAATTTAAGTTTTTGAAGTATTGAAGTATTTTTAATTTTTTAATGAAACCATATTTTAAGTGTTATAATGAAGCAATGCTCACATTAATTTGCACTCTTGTTGGAAAGTCTAAAAATGCTTACTTCAAAATAAGTAGTTCGTGTATGTAATTATATACTATTGTGTGTAAACATTTACACTAAGATCTCCATAAGCTATTTTTTCCCTATTGAAAACAATATGGAAAGAAGCTACTGAGATAAAAAAAAAAAATCAATACTTGTTTGATCATTGCTCTGCATTCCACATAGCACAACTAGCCTGCTGCTTAAAGGAGACTTAGCAAAGTTCTCTTGTATAATAATTTGGCTTTTACTCAAATCTGCAATTTATTGCCAGTGTGGGGAGTAAAATTTCATGTATGTTGAAGACTGGCAAATATTAAACACTCTTCTCAGAGTTTCTGCCTGAGATAGATGCTATTATCAAGTCCACACCATGAAAACAGAATCCTTTATGTAACTCTAATAAGCTGAGTGACTTTAATGTATTTAAACAATGACTCCAAGTGATTGTGAAAAGATCTCATTATAATGAAATCAATACTAAATAATTATACTGACTTTGTATTACATTATCTCTAGTTTGACTTATTAATTGACAAGTTGAGTTTTGTGGCATTTAGACAATTTGAATTAGTTTTAAATGACTATTTTGCTTATTAGTTTACTAAATCTTATATTTAAAATTGTATCGGAAAATTGGGAATTAGAGAGAAAAAGCCAAACAGTCAATTTAACAATTCTATGACTGATTCTCTAGAATGAAAGCACACACACACAAATATATTTATATTCTCTCAACTGTCATAATCAAAGATGCCTTGACAGAGCAGTTTAAACCTCTTCTGCCTTTTCTGATCTTCAAACCTCAGAGTGAAATTAAAAATAATTTGCTAGCAATGGACATAAATACTGGTTCTTATTAGACTACATTATAAAGAAATCAAGACAAAATTATTTTCTAAATACTAAAATTTGACCTTTTTATAAAGATATATTCACACTGTTAAGAGCAGTTCCTCCTAAGTGAAAGAAATGCATTACTGACAAATCTTCTCATGGTAGAGCAGTCTATATGCTTATGCAGCCACACAGTGGCAACTTGAAGGTGGCGCTAAGGTAAAGGGATAAAAGGAAAAGCTAGCATTTTGAAGTCTAGCTCTAGAAAAATCAGCCTGGCTAAACTTAAAAGGCAAACAAGAGTGAGGTAAATTGGTAACTGTACATAACCTGTGTCAAACAGTCAAGGGTCTGGGACCTGGGACCCAGGAAAGATGGGGAAAGAAACTCTAGGTTAATATAAACATTCCATAATTACAAATGATAATGATGCCACAGTTTTCATACAGAAAAGAGTCACAAGTATTTTGTTTCAATGATTATGACTCTTCACTGGGAAACATACATATTTGTGATTTACACGCAAGCTACCAATTTATACAGAATTTCTCTATAAAAAAATCTATATACACACACACATATATATGTATATATAGGAGAAAAATTGTAATGTTAGAATACAGATTTGATTTCAGAAAAAAATGAACATTTTTACAGACTATTTACAAAATGTGGGGGGAAAGTCATAAATCCTTAGAAAAAGTCACTTCCCCCTAAACTATTATCTTTTTCTTAACATGATTAACATGATGTTCTCCATTAAAAGTATGTTTTCTTCCCATGACTGAGTTAAATACATGACACTTTAACCAATAAAATTTAATCCTAACTTTTTTTCTTCTTTAATACTAAAAGAGGGGTAATCTACTATGTTCCAAAGACAGTATCTCAGTAAAAAGCAGAGGTCACAAATTATGGCAAAAAAGTGTGCTCAATTTTTAAGATAGGAATATTAGTTTGGCAAAGACTTAGACTAGTCAAGTTCTGCTGATCTGGAGCAGTAAGCATTTCTATCTCTTATTCAATCAGATCCTGGGTTTGACTGGCCAGGGACAGAAGCTGATTTTACTGCATCAAGAGCAGCTCACTGTTACTCTACAGAAGAGCTGGATCAGAAACCCCATTACAAATGAACGTTCGAAAAACTAGAATTTACCAATCCATTTATCAGAGTAAACACAGCCATTTGTCAGGAGACAGCTTTGTCATAATACAACTATATCCTGAACATAGGAAATTTCACTACCTGTGAAGGATACAGAGAAATGTTTTTCATCCTTCAACAGCATTTGAAATTGATTCAAATTAAGTAGCACTGTAACACTGTCTTCCCGTTGTTCATCGATTTGCTCGAATGGGCCCAGTAATATCTCCAAATGGCTGGGAATTCCCACATTAATCCTAAAGATTACAATTAATAAAGAGTAGAACAACTGGCAAACTCCTTAATGAATTTAGAAAAGTACACTGGAAAAGCAACTATTTTAATGATTTAGGGGAACAGTATACTCATGTCCACCAAGGCATACTTCATAGTAAAAAATAAATTAAAATTGAAAATGGTTATTTTGCCTTTCATTTGGGGGTTGAGGTAATGCTCTTTAAGAAAAGTTAATATCCCCAAAACATTTTTTTCCCGATTTAAAGCACAAACACCACTCTTCAGTTGCCTATGAAATGCAGGGCTTAATTTTGATCTATTTGTCCTTTGGTATCTGAAGATGAGACTGTTAGTCATAAAGTGCTCTTTATCAACTGGCTAGAGTAGAACCACATCCCAGCTTCACTGCAGTTCCAAGTAAAACTATGGTAGGTCTTTTTTTTTTCTGGTATCTACCTTTTAACTTCTTCACCCTCTCTTCTTCCGGAACACGCTTCTTTAAAATGTTCAAGGTTAAAGAGTGAATAACCACTTAATCAAGAACCAGAACAAGAGATCTCTCTGGGAAAAAGAAAGCGGGGGGACGGGGGAGAGAAAACTATGATGCTATATAATAGCTTGCCATGGATTTCTATCACCTTTCTGAAATGGAGTGGTCTGATAAATTTACAAATCCATACACAACTGAGAAACCATCCACTGCCAACAAACAGCAAAGACACTAATTTTTTAAGCCAAAAAAAATCTGTACTAACACATGTAATTTCTTAATGTGCCTAAGTTACTATCTGTACCAATTCAATGAATGGATTTGATTGAACTTCCCAACTCTACTAATTATTAAAATCCATCTGCTTATCTGAATGCTAGTCACCAAGAGCCAGCTCCATCTTTGCAATAAAAATGATAACTATGTAGCACTAGGTCTGAATCCTAAAATTCAGAACAGGTATACCATTTTCTCGAAGCATACTTCCTACACACATCTATCAGGGAAGAAAGCTATAAATGCCCTGCTCTGTAAGTATGGATATCAATATGAAATTTGAGTATTTTTAGAAGATGTCGTACATGATCATTTTCCTAATAAAGCAATACAGTGACAGACCTGTTTCAAAAATCTATATGGGGAACAAGCTTTTCATATCTTATTGATTAGAGTGCTTCTACCAGAAAAAGATGAAGGTAAAAATGATAAGGCCATCATAATTTTTTCTTTCATAGATAATTAAATATTTCTCTTCCTAACCTAGGTCAGACTCATACTACTTGAATAATTTAAGGCCAAAAACAAATAGAAAATGACTGTTTAAGCTTTCATACTGCTATTGCAAACATTTGGAAACATCTGTTACTCCTTCAACTAATCTATTTTTCTTTGGTAATTAAAAAAAAATCTAATCTATGGAATGTTTGCTGAACCTTCCTATCAACACTGAGACTGGAAACCAAAAGTCCAGTTTGAACAAATTGTGTTCAATCACTGTAAGAGCCATTGGGGGCAGGGTGGGAGGGAGCAGGGGGCTTAGGGGATAGTCAAGTGGGTTAAGGGGTGCGAAATAGTATTATACTGGGGTAGTCTGGGGAGGGAAACAATAACAAAGTACAGTGTACAGGAAAGTTTTGTTATTAAAATTGTGTATGCTGTAAAAAGTCAATGTCTTTTTCTTAAGTGTTTTCTTGACAGTCTGACAATTTTGATATATGAAACTTGAAAATAATTTGTGACAGAAAAACCTTAAGTGAAAAGTTGTTTAAACCATGTTTTCTACCATGCAAAATGTGTCCATTGAGAAGAGGGCAGCTAAATCATTCAGAGAGGCAAAACTAGGCAAAGAAGCCACCATGCTGATTAAACACTAGCCATGTAAGTAAGAAGCTAAGTCACAGCCTTCACCAATGGACAGAAGAGTTGTCCATGAAGGCAAATCAAATAACACAGACGGGGAGCTTTGAAAGGGCAATCAGTTGCCTAACTCCAGTAAAAGCAACCTGACCCCCACGCTTCATGTCAGTTCAACACCCCCGTGGTAGACACCATCGTATTAGCACCTTGTGCATCATTTCAAGGTAGAAGGTCTACAGATACTGACATGTTTAGATCTTTGGGATCCCTACATGACCCACAATGGTCCGGATGCCAGTTTAGTAAACACAAATGGGGCAAAGGAAGATTTTTGCTATAGGGGTTAGGATGCTGATAATGGAACCAGAGCCTCATGCAAAGCATGCGCTCTACCACTAAGCCTATCCCAACCTTCTGCCTCTCTGGAAAGGAAAATGAACAGGTTTCTTGTTTGGCATATACACACAATCCCAGAAAAGGATACTAGTCCTGGGGAGTACTGGGTCAGAAACGCCATAGACTAGCAGGAGTTGACTGCCAAGACTGCTAAGACACACCCATTGCTTCTCCAGCAGTGAAATAGTACAGGCAGGAAAGAAACTGGAGATAGAGAAACATGGCTACCCATTCTTTTGCCTTACACCCAAGGATAGGTATCAGAGAGGCAAGAGAGTTCTCACAGCAAGAATCTCAGCACTAATTACAAAAGAACGACAGCATAAATTTTATTAGCGAACTTATCCAGTATGCAATGGAGGGCCTAGGTAATTTAAAAATTCACAAAGGAAGACATTCCTAAACACTATTAAGTTAAATGGTAAGGTTTTAAACAAAATTCTCAAACATCTTAATCTTAAAAATCCCATGTAAAGCAACATCTGATTTACCAGTTATTTTAATTAGTTTTGCCTGTATGTCACAGTATTCTCAGGTTCCCACTCAAATTTATAATAGATTTCTTCAAGGTCTGCTTAAAGGGTTTTTTTTTCCCCCTTCTCTTTAAATATCTAACCAGCTGGGTACTCAAAATCTCAAAATCTCCCTTACAAAGACAAAATGTACTACAAATTGTCTTTTTCAAAAAAGAGAAGGGGAAAAAAGGTGAAAGCCTTGGCTTCCCAAACATCTCTCTTCAGCCTGAGTTTTACTTTCCTCCTCACTAGCCAATGACTGGGGAATAATCTTAATATGGATAGATGATGAGCCTTTGCCATCCTCTCTCTGAAGCACACATTAAAAGGACACAATCTCCAATGAGGAAATACAATGAGGCATCCCAACCTACAAAACCCTCTAACTACAAAATACTCTAAAGGCCCAAAAGCAAAATCTACTAACCCATAGCCTTGATCCTGGGAACTTCCCCTAGAAATCCCATACAGAGGAATGGCTATTCATAACAACCCTTCAGGCAGGAGTCAAAGGGCGCTCCCCACACCCAGGAAAGAAGGCTCTTTTATACTTAGGAATCAGATAATAAAACTTCAGCTCTAGAACAAGAGAAGTGATCCCCAAAGCCATTTCACAGCTTCATCAAGAGATCTTACCTTATGGTGAAGAAAAGTAGAAATATCAGAGT